CCCCAAAACCCCAAAACCCCAAAACCCCAAAACCCCAAAACCCCTCCTCTAAATATTTAGGTTGAATTAATAATGAAGCCAACTCTAAAGAACTATATCCCAAATACTAACTCAAGCATCTTCTGAATCAAAATGTAGGAAGTCAAATACTCTACTTAGTAAAGGCTCCTAAGCAATAGTCATCCAAGCTGAATATATACAGCTTCTCTGGAAGAGGAAGTAAAGCTAGTTGCTAATCTAGGAGTGTCTGAACTAAACAGGAAAGATTTGCTGTCTGTAGTGATGATTAACTCATTTAACAGCTTCAATAATAAAACTTAGTGTCCCTGATACATGAGAAATAATCGATGTAAAAGAAATTCGGATAACTTCTTATAATTGCATCATGATAGCCTCAAGAAGCATTGCATCAATCCAGCTTCAGGGAAGATGTAGTCAGTCAAAATTGCACCAGAAATGGCTGGCCAACCCACTGTACTTCTGTAGCAAAGTGAGGTGAGCCAAACCAGGCAATTTTTACAAATTTAGAACTAACTGTTCCTCCACAGAAGATGGATTGATACATGAGCTTCTTGACACCATGGCGTAATCATAATTAGTCGACTTTCATAGCATTAACTATTTCATATTTAATGAGTGGAGTTATTAAAAATGCCATAGTTTTACTATATCAAGCTTGTTCTGCTTTAAAAAGTGTTCTACTTCCTCTCTTGTAACCCCGCACTTTTGGATCGACAACTTTCTGAGGCTGCTCAGAAAATCTTGAGAAGTAGCTAACCCTTGTAGCAGCTTCATACATACTTCAGGAGCAGTTTTCCAATTTTCATCAGTCTGATAATATAGCAATTCTAGTTTCCTAATTTTGGTGTGCTTCAAAGCATGAGAGAAATCAGGAACCATAGAGAGGGATAAGTTACAATCACTCAGTGCAAATACTTTCACATGTTTAAAAGAAACTATAAGCCTTTTTAATTGGAATTGGCTGATTTGAATCTCGGAGAATCTAACTTCTTTAGAAACTGTATGGCTAATCCTGATAATGCTATTGAAATATTTAGCAAGCGGACTTTGTTCTTTCTTTATAGAAAACACCCACAAACCATTAAGCTTCTTAGGAAAAGACTGGCATAGGTATTTCCAAAACTCTTGCTTTTGGCCACATCTGAATAAATTCACTCCATCTCCATCAAAATAAGGAAGGGGTGCCAACTTTTTAAACATTGTTGCCTCATCAAATTCATCGAGATAAATGCTATATTCTTCTTCAGTAATATCCTCCCATATCTGAACTAGAATCAGTGTATTATCTCTATCAGGAATAGAGCCCAGATCTGGTATTTTGGTGAAGAAGTCTAATGAATGGATATTGAGTTGTAGAGCAGCACATGACAAATAATCAATCATTTTTTCTTCTCTCATAATAGACTCCTCTTTGCTATTAGGTGATTAGGTTAATCAATTTCGTTGGCTTTAAAGAGTATCAAGAAGACCATGAGCCCAATGTAAAAATCAAAACGCATTTTGTCCAGATCAAGCTAGCTCAAAATCCGATTGAAAATTAATGAAAATAGCAAATGGAGCTGAATATATAGACACTTGTAATCCCAAAATTTGTTTGGATTTACTCTTCACAAATCAACTATCACATCATTCAAAAATTGTTGGTAAGCAAGTTTACTTCAAAGCTTCATTATCTCCCCAAATAGAGACTCAAAAGAAAACCTATTTAACTGGCTGTAGAGCCAGTAATTGCTCAGTTCTAAATACTTACTTTTTAATCAGCTCTGTATCTGCTTTGCTATCTTGGTGTAGACTCTCCATTTTATGATTAATAAATATTAATTTATACAAGTTCTTCCTCGCAGTGTGGGGTTTTGGGGTTTTGGGGTTTTGGGGTTTTGGGG